ATTTTATGGGTGTGTTCCTCTAGTATCAATGTTATTCCAAGGCTCCCGAAGGGTGAATGAAAGTATAAAACGAGAAAATTGAGCTACATAAAGGAACTTAAATGTGAATTATGTTGTCTGGTCACTGTCTAATAAGAAGGTATGAAGTAATTATGATTATTGATAGGAGGAAATAACCACATTCATTCCATGTTTCACGAATTCTGGTTCTGCTTTGCCAAATTCGTCCACACCACGAAGGATTATGGATAAAATCAACATTATCCACTCCATTCGACAACTCGTGGGATGCGCCATGTCCTCGATATTCGCTAATAATTGGGGCGGCACCCGAAAAAGGATGGAAAGACGAAAGTGTTGTTATGGTCGGATCGTGAGGATGATTGAATACAGTTGTCGGTCGCTCAATGATTGAAGCGAAGTAAGTTGTTATCGACATTCCTTTTCCGCAACTATTCTCAGAAAAGGTGCGTGGGCGACCGAAGTGAACGGGAACCAGATAAGATCTCAACGTGAACTATGGAATAGATGTAAAAATTCAAAAAAAATGGATGCAAAAAGGACGCCATGGACGGACGTAAGCAAACCAGCCCTTTTGGCGTTTCTGCTGGGGCCGTATGCTGAATGTTGGGGAGGGGATGGGTCCCCGACGGTCGACGGACTACTTCAACTCGGTCCTTAAACCGCCTCAATTTGATGCTTACCTCAGGACTAAGCCTTAAAGAGAGGACGGACCTGCGAGAGAGCGAGAAACCAGCCTTTTGGCGAGCTGCTGGACCTAGCTGCACCACTTGCGTCATCACTCTCCTACCGTACCGACCGAGTTGAAGTAGTCCGTCGACCTCGGGGACCCCATCCCCTCCCCAACATTCAGCATACGGCCCCAGCAGAAACGCCAAAAGGGCTGGTTTGCTTACCTCATAGACCAATCCCCACACCGCTTCGATGGCGAGATGAACCACATGCTGAGGTAGTTGTGGCCAACAACTCTACTTCTTCTTCCCCATGGACCTACGACCCCTTATTCGCCTTCCCAACGACTCCATGCGACCTCCTCCCCCACCTTCAGTAGGACGCAATTGTCAATGCTGTCGTTGAAGCTGGTACTAACTGCCACGCTGCCAATTCCCTCTCTCCGAAAGTGCGTGAGAGAGGAAAGGGGAGATTGTTTGGAGCAGGATACTAACAACTGCTAGACGACCAAGTTTCACTATCCCACTTACCCACAATAAACAATCTATGAACCCCCTCCTTCCCCTTCTCTCCTTCCCCCTATCCTTTCCAAGAGCAAAATCTGCTAGAAATCCGTTTCACCGCCGGACTACCTGTCGATCAATGCATTATCTTGATACGCCACGCCATTCACAGTCTATGGCGAAGCCGGTTTTTGTCCTCGAGGCCGGGTGATACATTCTGCGGCAATATCGAAGAGGTCGAAACCTTGATCCGGTCGACGCCCACGACGACTCCCAGGGCCACCTTAGTGTAAAAAGTAGTCGTATGTGGACTACACCAATATGGCATTATATGTAGGATTAATGAAAAAAAATATTAAAGAATCGCTCGTGGCGAAAATCGCTCGCGTCTAGTCTGACGAACAAAAGGAAGGAGAAAAGTTGATAAAGGTGAGAAAGAGAAGGAAACAGCTGATGGTGACTCACTCTTTGATTAGCGTATGCGCTGTGAACTCTGCATAGGTCTCAGTGAGGTTCGATGCCTCGAGGACTTCAGTGAGAATAACTTTGTCAGCCATTATCTGCCATTAAGTGCACCACGTGCAGTAGTGACCCTTAGCTAGGGCCAATTAGGCACACGGCAAACGACGGTAAAAATCGTGTCTGTGGGGGTCTGGGTGACGGCCTCGTTTTTTTTTTCAAGCAACAAAATCCTCCGCCCACCCACCCCACAGTCGTCCGCCTCCCCTCAGTCACCGCCTTATTGATCCTCCCTCTCTCGTCCAAAGACCACGCCTTTCGAGACTCAGACTCATTTCAATGGCGAATGAAGTGAACGTCCATGCGAGGTATGCAATAAATGACGCATCGGCGTGTGAAGGCAACGTCTGGCCTGTTTGGCTCAGTCGCCAGAGAGAAATGAGGCCAAATCTGGCCGTTTTAGCTCTAACTTGCCAGGTTTAGGCATTTCTATGGAAGTTATCCCAACTAGCCAAATCCCAACTCACTGATGAGCTCCGGGGATTGACGAAATAATAAGGTTCGTCTGAGGAAGGAGCGAAACGAACCATTTTAATTGTTTTGTTTATAAAGGTTTTTTCTTTCTTAATTGTATGCAAAAAAGCTGTTTTCCTGAAAAACTCGCATCGAAGCCCAACGAGGTTCACCTTAAATTATTTTCAACGAATTCTGCACATGGATTCTTGGGAGTACCTTGAGAGTTCTTACCCCTAGTCCGGAAATTAACCATCAGTCATGACCGACTGAACACAAATTTTCTCCAAAAGACTGAAAAGGTTCGTTCACGAACGCATGAGGAATGAGTCCACTTATGTGTTCTCTCAATAGTCCCATTTCTCTTTAGAACATGCGCATGCTAAGGAGAACGCGCAGTCATAATACACCCTCCGATCGAGTGTGTTCGGTCCCACCGTTGCTTAAAGGGCAGATGGCAGGAAAAGTTGTTCGCTGAGGAAATGAAAAGTAGATTTTATGTTAGAATGGCGAGTCGAAAGGCGCAGAAGCAAAGTCTGCGGAAATGGCCCCAAAACACAAAAAAAACCGGTCGCCCCGGTTTTCCTTGTCTGCTGCCTACGTTACGTCATCATCGCGAACGTTTGCTCTGGTCTCGATGTGGACGACGGCTAGAATTAGACAGCAAGGTACCAGCTGCTGGGATAGCTAATCAGTGGGCGTGGGCAACCGCAAAGGGAGTTCACCGCCAGGGAAGATTCTTTTAGAGGAGGACTGCACAATAAGAACGAAGGTCGAAGAAGGGAAACCTTTAAGACCATATTGAAGAGGACAAGCGTCCCTCCCACCCCTAAGATGCGGACCAACACCGCGAGCAATTGAAAGATAGTAGCCGGCGATCTCTAACACCGCATCTCCCTTGTGGCGCAGTGGGCGCGGAAACGCCCACCGACATCTACCGCTTGCGCAGGTCTATACGTGCGAGTGATTAGATAGCAGAGAGAGCGTAGTAGTGAAGAGGGCACAGCGATGAGAGTCGCACCAATGCGGAAATCAACGGGCAAGGAAGGAGTACCATTTACCGGGTTCTGAGCCGTTTCACATGGTTCTTCTTCGTCCCTGGATCACTGACCACTCTACCCTATTTCCAATAAGCTACCTTTTCATCGTAAATTCCGCCTTTAAGCCGCTATGGAGCACCCCTGCAGCAAAATGCACCTTGTCCTGCTCTCCTATGGAACCTGCTTCCCTTTATAGTAGACAATCCCCGCGTAGTCGACCTCAGAGCTCTACCTTCAAAGAAGAGACACTGCCCCTATAGTAGCTTGGGTCTCGATAACTCGTCCAAGGTCAAGCGCTGCCGTGTTATCATTGTGCCGCAGAAGCTCAAAGTCAATCTCATAACATGTAGATAAAGTCATTATTCGAAGCGTAAGACTAGAGATATAGAGAATTAAAGTTCAGAGAAAAAACGCTGGCCACGCTTTTTCTGAAAAATTACTACTGTTAGCTCAATTCACAGCAGACCTTAACATTAAACAGCAGAAAGAGAGCTTTTTGTTAGCAGTAGTCATAAATTGCTGAAGGGCAGAATTTACGATGAAAAGTAAGCTCATCGGAAAAAGGGTGGAGGTGGTCAGTGAGCAGGGATGAAGAGAAACCTTTGAAACGGCCGGATCCCGAGACATGGGACCCCTTCCTTGCCCGTTGCTTTGCGCATTGATGCGACTCTCATCGCTGTGCCCTCTTCAACACTACGCTCTCTCTGCTATCTGATCGCTCGCCACGTATAGACCTGCGGCAAGTGATTAAATAACAGGCGGTAGGCGTACCCCGCCGCCGCCAAGAGTGAGCCATGCTAGATCGCCGAGGTCAAATCTTTCGCTGCCAATTGCGCGTCGGCCAGCACTCTCAGGAGGTCCGCCTGTCTCCCAGCTATGCAATTTGCCCTTCTTTGACCTTCGATCTTACAGTGAATTCCTCTTTTGCATGCAAAAAAGGCTTTGCTTGTGCCCACAGTTTGGCAATAAAACAAGTAGATTTTTTCTGAACCTCAAAGAAGTTCGAAATGTGACTTCCTCCAGAAAACATCTCAAAAAAGCGCTAAGCGAATCCTGAGATGCGCTACGCGTTCGGCTTCCTTCGGAATCAGTATGGCATGCGATTTTTCCCACAAAATGATTTGCGGGACCGGCGATATACAGGTCAGGAATTTTATCTTCCTGGCGAATGTGACACTGAATTGAGAGCTTATGGTTAGCTGGCCCGGACGGGGTTCGATGCTTGATTTCGCCAACCGTTCATAATAAACTTCGTAAGTGGTGCATTCCCCCAAACCATTTCCGCCGATAACCTAACGGTTTTCGGGCGCAATGGCCACGGGCGGGGTGGGCAGTCTGTCCGAAACGCCAGTAGAACTAAGCGTAAAGCAGATGAACGAATTCCGGAACGAATGGAAATTGCTTACGCAGATCGAATTCCCTTTCCTCCAAAGCTCGTAGTCCAAAAAACCTGAGGAAACTCGGATCTGACAGGCAATTTTTGCGGTAGCACAGATGCCACATTAAGTGCCGGTTTTTTTTTCATGGCGATGAGACAATGAAGTCAGAAGAATAACAAGCCTCATTTAAAGCGAAACTGAAATTACCAGAAAGCGTTGAATCCAGTGCCGCACCGACCCAACTCTATAACTGCTCCCAGGTGACAATCGTCAAGCGCAAACCTTGCTGATTTTATGTATTTTCATCACTTCCTATTTTGTAGTTTTCATCGTGTTCTTGTTCTAAGTAATCTTTAAAAAAGCTTTTAATTAAAATAGTTTGGGCTTTTCTGCAATCACTTTACTTTCCAATGCTTACTGACCATCATTTCAAATTTCACTTTAGGTTTTTTAGTTGTACTAGGTGCCAGGTCTATCATAGCGTCAATCGGAAGGACGGATCTTCATTATAGCTAGCTTAACTTCTGCTGAAACGGCATACCGGTCGGCGCGTTCCAGGCAATAATCTTGAAGCAGATTGGTGATTCACTTCATGTCGTTGCAGTTAAAGTCCGCTGTGACTTTTTTGATTACTCATGAGTAATCTTTCGTCACCGTGTCAATTTTCGCTACTAATTCCTAACTCAACTTTTACTTGAATGATTTTTCTATTAAGGGTAAAGATGGCGGGTTCAACGATGGAGGCCACGCAAATGAAAGTGAAGGCCGCTGTTGATGGCATGATCGACGACCTGGATCGGACTTACCTACGAGACATGCAAAAACAAATGTTTCTGTGTTCCGCAAAGTTAGTTCACTTCTTATCTCATAATCTATTTTTCATTCGATCTACTTTACGAGTAGTTAGGAGAGTTTGCGCGCAATTCGTGCAAGGGGTGGGGGGGGGGTGGGTTGAGTTCGACGACGTACTTGATACTCAGTTTTTAAACCCCTCTTGCTCCTCTCATGGGTCCCTCTTTTCTCCAAGGCTTAGTCCCAGGGTTCTGTGCGCTAGCCATTCGCTGCAGGACCATTGAGAAAAGAATCAAGTGGTCCGAAACCGGGGGGGGGGATTGGGGTTAGCCCGCAACACTCTCGTGGGTCCCTCTTTTCTCAAGGCTTGTTCAGGGTTCGTGCGCTAGCCATGCGCCGGCAGGAACCAATGAAGGGAAAATTCAAGTGGTCCGAAACCCGGGGGGGGAATGGGGTTAGCCCGCAACATTGCGTCACATCACGAGTACGCTCAGTTTTAGGACTAGCCTCAGAATTACGAGTACGTAGGCACCTTCTCTCCATGTGTTCGTCGCATCCCCCCCCCATTTAAGTCGCTGTCTAATCGGCCTTCTACAGGCTGCGACCCAGACACAATTGCGCCTGATTTCCATAGTTGACCTTCAGCTTTTTGGGCGATGGGAAGTGCTCTTGGAAGCATGCAGGTTACCAGCAGTCATAACTGTCCTAATTTGACCAATTACTTCTGGCAAGACATAGTGCTGTTTATGAATGCAGACATGCTTTACGACCGCCTTGTAGCCGGACCATCTTGTGATCGCATGCTCAATACGTATTTATTCAACACCCGAATTGCAAACGAAGTGTAGCAGTCGCAAAGCAATGACCGCACCCTAATGGTAAGTTCATATGTTCGTGGGGGGGGGGGGGGGGGCGGAGCTATTTGTTAATGGATACAGCATAATTTCATGTTGAGAAGCGTTCCTAATTTTTCAGTTCTCATGGGAAGGGGTAGAAGAGGGATTATTCATCCGATGAGGCCCGAAACTGAGTGATGACTATCATAATTCAAGCGCAGTTCACTGAAAGGTCTGAGAAATGAGGGACAAAAACCCAATTATTCATAGCACGTTACCGCTGTTTGGCCAATAGAGGGACGTGATGAAACATCCGGGAGTAACTTAGCAGAAAGAAATTAGGAATCAAGCTGATTTGGTTTAAGTTCGGTCTTAAGGAGACGAGGAAGCATAGCGGCGTATGAGGGGAGCATTCTCTCTTGCAAGTGTCGCACACGGTCCTCATGAGGGTCCGATACCATGTAAAACTGAACGCTCAAGAATAAGAAAATGTTAATTCTGCGTCCCTCTTACAAAACATCGTCAGTTTACCACAGCTGCGGTTCGGCAAGGCCTAAGCTTCAATAGCTTTACTCAGATCTGATAGCTCTACAGGCTCAGGGCGAGCTGTCAGAGATGACCCGACTTAATTGGAAGAAAATGGTAGGTCTGAACAAAACCACTGAAGAGGAAGAACACGATAAAGCTTTTGTGCACACCAGCGATGTTTCAGGCGTTTGGGGGCTAAAAACATGTTCTATAGTCATTGGTCCTATATATCACGAATTGATCGCATTCCTGAATAAAGTGTATCATTCTAGGTGTTGCGAGCATAAGGAGAGTTCTCGTGAAATTGTCGAAAACTGCGTAGAAAAATGTAACGGTGGTATGAAAAAAGCCCAACGAACCCTCGAAACGGAACTAGGAGGACTTCAGGTTTGTCATTTTGAAACTTCATCTTCACTGGGATTGTTATTTCGCATATTTTATTTATTGTTATGCTTTTGATTTCGTTCTTGTTTACTTCCTGGTTTTCAAATTTTACCTTTTTCTTGAGTATTGGCTGTCATGGCTCACATTTTGCTTTATTTGCATGGTGATTTACGGACTAGTTTATTGTTGTCCATTTTTTCTTTTAATCCTCATCGATTTAGGAGCAACTTTCGCGCTGTGCAATGACTTGTTATGACAAACTAGTTCAAAAATTTGGGCCTGATGTTAATAAATATACAGAAGATCAGGTAAGTTAGATGCAGTTCCTTCCAAAAACTCCTCTGTTGTTTGGAAAGTACATTTTCAGATGGTTGCATTCAATACGCAATTGGATAAATGTGTAGCCGTATGTGCTGATGATCATATAAAATTAATTCCAAAAATAAAGGAGCGATTTGTGAAGTCGCTCTGAAAAGTTGCGAGGAAAGAAAGCGTGAGATTCGCTCAACTCTCATTAATCGTTGGATATCGCCCGCTCTACCTCGGCTTGGGGAGTGTTTTTCAGTCGTTTCAGTTTATAAACTGCCCTCGGTTATCTAGTAACGATTAGGCATTACTAACGTACCATGTAGTTTTGTTTAAATTATTTCACGTTGTAGATTGAATTTGTTTGTTATTTCTTCGTTACTTTATGATAAAACATGAATCCATATATTGAATTTCGACGGTCCATTGCATGGTACTTACCATTGGTACCTATTACGAACTAGCTGTTTTGTTTCCTTATTAATTGGGAGTTCTCAGCGATGCGACGATGACCGCTTTGGTACTTTTACTTCTACTGACCTTGACGCCCACTTGTTGGAGCATTGGTAGGTAGCACATATTTCTTAACCAAATTCTTGTGTCATCGAAGTGAATTTTACTGTTTTTAGGTAAGAAAGTGCCCGTGCAGTTTGGCAGGGTATGTGGCTTTGGAGACTTCAATGGTGATAGAAATACTGACGTGCTTGTACAGCGAGGGACAAACCTCACAGTTTTATTACAGGATGACGAGTTGCTAAACGTGGTACGTTGCTCAGTATTCGAGTGTCGCCTGTTCATCAATTACGTAGGAATGTTTCAAATTCAATTTGGTTTAGCTTGAGGAAGGAGTTTTCACGAATTCGACTTCGTTCCGCGTTGGTGACGACGTTGTTGAATGCTCTCTTGGCGACTTTAATGGAGACACGAAGCTCGATGTTTTGGTAAGCAAAATTATTGCAAATTCAGTGGTTGAAAAGATATTGCCTTGTTTTATCATATTTTATTTATAATCTGTATTACGAGACATTTTCTTCTGATAAAGCTATTTCCTGACTCCCAGGGTCTCTATTCAACCTTTGTCTTCGTAACTCCGTCTCCGTACTGCCGTAAAGACAATAACAAACCGCTCTAGTAGAGTCTTCGGTGGTTGATCCTCAAAAGTTGATATTTGCATGCATTTAGGTGTCTACAAAGAGGAAACGCGCGTATCATCCACTCGGTGTGGATATCATCACCTCTTGGTGATTCGTTTACTGAACACAAGTTAGCTGTACTGTCTTCTCAAGCTTTAGTAAGTTCTCTGCTGAATAAGCTTGTGTCTGAAGTGCTGCTAATATCGTTTCCTAAATGATTGTTACATCAGGCTATTGATGTAGACGGGAACGGATGGCATGATGTACTGGGGTTCTTCGAGAACGGTTCGATGTACTGTGTGACATTTAGTCGTGATGGCACTGTGGCACACGATTGCAATTATCTTTTCCCGTAATTTTTACTTCCTTTTTGATATGTTAACTTTGATTCAATTATCGAAGAGATATGGCTTATTCGTTGCAGGACCTTTGTTAAATTGGATCCTTATCCCAAAGTTCCTCACCTTTTTGTTGACATGACAGGTTGGTTTCTTGCAGGTTTTGAGAGCTCTTTTTGAATTGATCAGTAATTTGAGAACCCAGTCTGTGTTATTCCTCGAACGATCTTTCAACAAAAAAAAATAAAGTTTAGGCGATCATCTTGCTGAAATTGTTTTTATGGATACAACAGTTTCAAATGGTGCGAAGTTCCTGACGCCACGAATGTGGGGCCGTTACAAAAACGGTTGGAGAGAAACTCCCACAGCAATCAGCCAAATACCCGGTGAACATCAGGTACACATGATTTTTCGTTGGGACGGTCTAGACAAGAACGGTGTTCATTATGCGCCTCCCGCATTCAGCGGTGTCCATGAATTCACAAGCTTTGGGGTGATGCTAATCCGTAATATTTCCATTTCCTCCTCGTTTCTGAGAATTTGATAATAATCGTGCATGCCTACTAAATTTTAATTTATTCGAAATTGATAAACGCTTCGTTTCGACATTTTAAGTTCGTTGGCGCTCCTTTGGCTGCCGATTTCGACGCAGACGGCTTGATAGAATTGCTTGTGCCAATTTGTCGAAAGGAAGATTGCAAGCAGGTATCTTTGTTTTCACCTCCTCTGTTCGTAAAGCTCCAAATAGTTTTTTTTTCTAGGTGACGGAATTTGCTAACTGGCAGTATAATCGCGGATGGAGCACGAACGCGTTCGATTTGCAGGTAAATATCTATGCATCTGAGTGTTCATATTTGAATTGACGAAGAATAGCCGAGTTCCCTGTTTTCGTAGTCGAAATCAGATTATATGCATCGGCACCTTCTCCGTTCTACAAAGACACTTTCCAGTCATGTTATTTCGATTTGTGCTGGGAGTCGGGTATGTCAGGAAAAGAGGGGCCCCACTTCGAGGAATTTAATGTAAAATTCTCACAGAGGGTAATTTCCGAGAAAAGGCAGAACATAGGTTAGATAGCAAAAATGCTTCACTTTTCAGATTTCTAGAGTCCAATGTGATGAGTAGCATTTCTTACAGTAGTGGTTTGCGATTTTGTGGGCAATTTAAACAACAAACCACTGATACAATACTCATGGTACATACTGTAGTGTTTGTTACAGAATTTCACAATCTTATCGATGAAGGACTCACTTGATGCTTTCGAGTTGAGACTTCTCCAACCTCGATGCTACACGGAATCTTGTGGCAACTTTGGTTTGAAACATAGAGCCTAGTAGGTTCAGATCAAGAGCAAGTAATTCTTTAGATGTACGATCTTCGCCTTTGCAAACGTACCCTCGGCATCTTTTTTCATCCTCACTCTCACGTGTCAGTTCAAAGGTCATTGATAATATTTTTGTGCACAAATGCGCACGTAAATCGGACGAACGTGTACGCAAAACAAATCAATCACGCGATGGAGTTAGAAAGTGGGACAAATTGAGAGTTTCAGGAGGTTCGAGATAAACAAGAGTATCTTCATCCAACCGAAGGAAGTAGCTTTGGGAGAAATCAAGATGGCATCATTCTTCGACCTGAAGGTAAGTTGCAGTTTTGGTGTTTGCGGAAAAGCTATTTGATCAGACGTAGAGAAGCCACGCATGCAGAAAAAAGATAGGGGAACAAGTAAATATTGTAAATAAATAATAATAAATAGGAACTACAAAAATTATTCAAAAAAGTGCAAGCGAGTAAGAATTGTTGTTCTATTAGAAATTTTCCTTCTTCGCCACTATGCCCAGAAATTTTAAGGGTCTATAACAAATGACTTTTTAGGGAGAAAAGTTTTGTCAAGTGTTTTTTTTTTTACAATTATCAATGGGTAGAGGTGGGAGTGAGTCAATTTTATGTTTGTAAGCAAACTTATCGAATGAAGGCTTTGCCCATTTCATTCGATCTCTCAGTAAAGCCTTCAAATCGAGCTGTTTGCAGATCTTTTTTTTTTTCGTCTATTTGTATTCAGGGGAATTAAAGACCGTTAGAGACTTTATTCTCTTCAAACACGCTGTAACAAGCGTTTCAATCAACACATACCACCCGAAATTGGGATATAATATCTGAGACGTCACTGCCGTAATTGTCATGCGTAAAACCTAGCTTTACCGACTTAAACAATAGCATAATATTTCCCTTTTTATATCCTCACATTTAAACTTTAAAAGTCAAACTTGTTGGAATCCTTATATCGTCTTTCTTTCACTTTATGGCATAAACCAGATTAGTCCGCCGTCAACCACCGGGACCTTCCTTCCTGCGTAAGCGTTTATATCTTGCGCTGTGGCGCCCTTTCCACCTGTGAACACAAACAACTTCCTAGGATTTATCGCGTAATGTCACACCTAACGAACCTTACCAGAAAAGGAGTTTACATGAAGATATAGGGCATCGGCACTTCATACATATGGCGGTAGCAATTTTCCGACGCCTCCCTCCTTATCCTGTCTTTGGCCTTCCACTTCCTCCAGCTGGCCGAGCAGCATCATTGGAAATGACCGAAATTAGTGCTACAGCCAGCGACTGATTTATAATAGTGTAGCGATATTGTCGATACAATCAATATAATCCTGTTAGCAAAATTGATATCTGCTATCAACACTACGATTCTGCATAGCGCCTGTTTATCTCCCTGAGCTTACTAATCACTACACATTCATTTGTGCGGACGGAGGCAGACGAGAACCAATAACATACATTACATACACCACACACCACACCCACTAAAATACAAGACGACTGACACACAATGTTAGCGTTTATCATAAATCCAAGGATACCTTTCTTTGCTTTAGGAGAATGGAACTTGCGATAATCCTCAAATTTGAAATCAGCCATTTGAAGGAGATACGAAGTTCAGGTTAGTTTTAGTGGGCGAAGTATGCTTCGATAATCCGTTTGTCACATAAGCATTAGTTCTCTTTGCTTCCTACATATTACCCTTCCTTTCAGCTTCATCCCTTGTGACGACAAGGGCGATGTCACCGTTTCCTCACGTCACGGTGTTCACACGTTTGCGGTAAGTCATCTGCAACACCGTCACCAAAAGAAAGCTGAGGTTTGTTCCTACTGCATTACTCGCTTGTCAGATCTGAGAATCTTTGCATCCTTAGTAACAAGTATTTTGTGTGCCTAATTCAATACTGAAAAATTATAATTCATGTTAGTAACTTAGAGAGTATGCAGAGCTGCTGAGTGTCAGCTAGGGGCGGCGGCTTGCGTGCAAGCCGTCAGCATGTCGATGGATGGGTGGATCATTGAAAGTTCGGCACTTGTCAATATCCTTGGCTAGGAACGCATCGGCGCATGGACGCTACCGCCTTATGTCTCATTCGGTCTTGCGATAGTCCTACTCGTAAGATGAGGTTCGTTCGTTTCTTTCTTTTCCAGTATTGATTGTTAACAGCCTTCTTTTGTCAGCTTACTATTGGTGCGCCGCCTCTACAATGAGGCCTTGAACGCTCGGCAGCACACGCTGAAGCAGATAGTACCGAACTCAAGGATTGTTGTTATACCTCCGGCCGAAGGCGGCTCACAGTGGCTCACGCGACTGTATGTCACCCATCCAGCCATTCTCGGTTGTTCAACTTTTTCTAGATCATTCATTCAAGAGGTCGCACTAGGATAAAGTCGTCGTGCGCACTTCTCAGACATAGAAGCAAACTAATCAAGAGAAGGAGTTTAGCGCCTGCCATAGTCCCGCGGCAGCGCGCGCTGTTCTACGCTCTGCCATAATAGTCATGCCCCATATACCAACCATATGTTTATGTGGAGATGCTATAACTTAACCTATCACTTATTGACTGTAACTACTGCGTACAGTGGCACAAGACAAGGGTCAAGAACGAAATGTCTTCCCTAACCAGGTCAACAGGTCATTTCTTTCGCTTTGTTGAAATTTTGTGAACAATAGATGGTTTGAGGTCGCCTATATACCTTCGAATTGCTTGCATTGTAATCTGGCTTCAACTCACTCGCGTTCGCGCTTGAGTTTGCACCGGAACTCATACTGGACGTCATTGGCGACAAATTCTAAGGTTTTTTAGGCTGATGATCGTTCAGCTGCTCTTTTCACTATCTTCTTTCTTCGTTTATTCAAGCGACCTGGATCCATACAAGCAGCTACTAATGGCTCTCACCTCCTGATTCATGTGGATCGCTTGCTAATGCGGTCGATAGTCTGTCGTCCGACGACACCCTTCCAGCCCATGTTAAAGTCGTAGCTGTTTACCTACTGCGAAGAGTGCTCACACTGAGGAGTTACTACAACGTAATTGATGTAACTCGAAGAGAATCTGCTCTTGCAAAAAAAAGGAGATGAACGTCTCAAAGAAGAGTAGTCTCTGAAGAAAAGTATAAACGGTCTGTCCCTCTTCAGTGTCGCGGTAGTACTCCAGTACTTGACACCCAATTACAATTGTTTTGAGTACATAAATGGGGTAAGACGCATACTGATCGTATCTGCGGGTTACATGAATTGTGTTCTTCTAGACATGTCTAGCACGATTACTGCGTCCACAGGCAGCTGGTATTCATTAAGCGGTTGACTCATTTTATCAATCAACGCTTTCTTCTCACCTTCCTTCCTCGCAATGGGTAAGACCTGAGCCCTAAAACTCTTTTAAACTGGCACATGTTGATTAAAAGCTTCGTTGAACTTAAGTACAGCAACTTTCTAATTCATCATTGTTCTCACTTAATCATTGCTTCTGTTGAGCAACCAATCAATCACTGTGCAACCGTCGTATACCAGGCTGTTCAGAAATTTTGCATAGATAGGTCATTTTGTGAAACTCTTCCCGTTTATTCAAAAAATATATCAAGCAGTAATATATACAAGCAAACCGCCAAGTACTAGTCTCGATGAAAGAAGCGCAACTCAATGACGTGACTTCAGAAAGCTTCGTGAGCTATAGCATCTGAATGGCAGGGCTGATGTTTATGGATAAACTTTTCGCTGCCCGCCTAAAATTCTCTGCACCATTTACAAATCTTTTAATTCCTCTAGTCTTTCGCATCACGGGTTCGTTCTCTAGCGAGCAGCTCCGGAAGGATTTGAACCAGTATTGTTCTCACCGTATTGAACTAACCAGTGGGCGGTGGGCTTCATCTCTGAGCAATTACAGATACAAGCGTATCATGTTGAATGCGCGGGAGATTATGGGTTCCAGGATCGACTGAAAGCACATAATAGTATTGCAAAGTTTACACTGATAAGCGAGATGATGCAAAATTCCTGGACAACTCAATATTTAGTAACAAACTATGTTTACAAGGAGTTAGTAATGTAGGGTGCCTCGAGATTTTTCAAAGCTTTCGATGGTACGAATAATTTCAGAGTCTGGCAGTGATTGCGCTTGTCTGTGTTATGCTTCTCATGGTAGTTGCGTTCTTGCATTACCGCGAGAGGAAGGAAGACCGAGTGGAACGGCAACAGCAGTCGCATCGCTTCCACTTTGACGCCATGTGATTTGATGAGCCTATTGGTGCTGAAAGAAGTCTGACACAATTTTGCTGTGGTAGGTTTTTACAGAGGTGGAGTCGCAAGTGCAAGCTTATGCCTTCACCATGCCATTCCTTGCTCAGTTCTTTTTGGGCCTATGCCCACGACGTTGAATGAGTTTCAGTGCACTTCAGTGGCAGCTTCATCAAATCTTTCTGCATTCTATTCCATTTTCTCCATCTGTATACTTTCCTTTTGTTTCTTCTCGATTCTCATAGAAAATTGATCGTCTTCATTGTCACGTCTGCGGTACGGTCGTCATTGTTTCTCGCATACGCCCGTCAAGTGCCTTCGGGTTTGTATCTATCACATGCTTTCTAATTTCTTTGCATCATTAATTAGAGTAGCAATTCATACCAATTTCTAACTGTTCCCGTTCAACTCTGTGATATGCTCCAGTATACTATTGTAATGAGGTATAGATTTAAATTTTTCGTCGAATATAAATAGTGCATAACAGTTGTATTGTGATGTGTTATGAAATATATAAATAATTCCATCTATTTTCAATTTTCTATTAGGTAATATTGCTTCTGTTCTCTTATCTGCGACAGCACTTTGCCGTGCTTGTTAAGAAAACAAAGTGTAACTCACTAGTGATTCGGAATTGTTTATCGGGTTCCAGAAAGGAGAATATGGGGTGGGATTCCATTGGTGCGAAGTGTGCTGGCTTATGTTGTGAGCCGTGGTTGTTTACCTTTTGCCGACGGGAGGAGCGGTCAGGCATTGTTTTCAGTATGCCAGTGGCGTATGGTTACTGTGGAGAGTGGACGAATAAGCGAATAAGAGCGTCGTCAAAGAGGTGGGGAAGGGGGGAGGGGGGTAAAAGTTAGAGGTGCGTGTCATTTCTGCCGCCTCCGCCCTTATCGTTAGAGCGTTTTGGCAATCGCGATTGGTGATCGCCCATTAGTCTATCGCCTGAGTCGTCGACAATGTGGTGGGGGGGGGTGGGGACAGGGTTGCGTCATGGACCCGCCATTAAGCGCATCCCTCCCGGCTGTGAAGGTTTACGGACTACTTGATTTTTCCTCAATGGTCCTGCAGCGATAGCTAGAGCACAGACGATTAGAGAACGGGTGAGTGCCCTAGGTCTGCGCGTAGGAGAGGAGTGGGACCGCGAGGGAGCGGGGTGTGGTTCACTAGGACAGAAAGCGACTTTTTCGCGTTTCGCAGCGCGAAACATTCGTTGCGGGAATCTCGGGTCCACTGATGATTCGCTGCGGGAACCTCGGGTCCACTGATGATCAGCGGTGGACCTGAGGTTCCCGCAGCGGAAAATGTTTCGCGCTGCGAAACGCGAAAAAGCCGCTTTCTGTCCTAGTGAACCACACCCCAGGGGAGCCACGCGGTCTTAGGCGGAGGCACCCCTGAAGTAATCAAACAAGCCCTTTTGGCCTTTATACTGGGGCCCTATACTGAAATGTTTTGAGTATGGCGTACGCGGGAGCGAGCGGTCGATTATGTAGTGGGTGCTGAGACTTGGGTTTTATTGAACCCTTTATAATCACCTCGCGGTGGGTTCAGTGGTAGAATGCTCGCCTGCCACGCGGGCGGCCCGGGTTTCGATTCCCGGCCGATGCACCAAGCTGTTGCGGGTGACTAGAGACTTAGGGTTATGGTGGACCCTTTTAATCACCTCGCGGTGGTTCAGTGGATTTAATGTGATGAGGAGGAAACTATGTACAGAGAGAAGAGTTGAACGCCTTTATTGTATGGCTGCAAGAGAAGGTATATGGATTGTAGTATCTGTTCAAGGCTTATACAGTATGGGCACGCCCCGCCAGACGTGAGGTCGTGAGGGAGTCATCGCCAGCGATATGCGCAGGCGATGACAGCTGTTCCTCGTATAACTT